CAGGAAGGAACCTTTAATGGAAAGAGGCAATGGAATACCACAAAATTAGCAAGTAGTTTGACTAGAACGCATGCCTTCTTCTGCATATAATTTCCTAAGTAAAACAAATATGGATATGAAACTTACATCAATATATAGAGGACCAATCATCCTTTCAGATGCCACCAAGATTGCCTGATTTGGACAATTTTCAGTTCTTTTATGCTTCAACACAGAGAGCCATCATTGCGTGGGAAGGGAAAAAGGAATTGCACAATATTAGAAAGCAGGAGGACAACAACCAAAGCCTTCTTCTTACGATAATTTCCCGAGTGAGACAAGTATGGATATGAAACTTACATAAATGAATAGGGGAACAATCACCCTCTCAGTAGCCACAAAGACTGCCAGATTTGGACAATTTTCAGGTCTTTTATGCTGCAACCCAGAAAGCCATCAATGCGCAGGAAAGAGCCTGTAATGTAAAGAAGCAATGGAATAGCACAAAATTAGCAAGTAGTTCAACAAGAACGTATGCCTTTTTATTCATATAATTTCCTACGTAAAACAAATATGGATATGAAACTTACATCAATATATAGAGGAACACTCGCCCTTTCAGATGCCACCAAGATTGCCTGATTTCGACAAATTTCAGGTCTATTATGCTGCAGCATAGAGAGCCATCATTGCACGGGAAGGGACACGAGAATTCCACAAAATTAGTAAGCAGCCGGACAACAACCTAAGCCTTCTTCTTACGATAATTTCCCAACTAAAGGAAGTATGGATATGAATCTTATATAAATAAATAGGGGAACATTTGCCCTTTCAGTAGCCACAACAACTGCCAGATTTCGACAAGTTTCAGGTCTTTTATGTTGCAACAAAGAGAGCCATCATTGCTCAGGAAGGAACCTGTATTGGAAAGAGGCAATGGAATAACACTAAATTAGCAAGTAGGTTGACAAGAACGTATGCCTTCTTCTGCAGATAATTTCCTAAGTAAACAAAATATGGATAGGAAACTTACATCAATGTATAGAGGACCAATCACCCTTTCAGATGCCACTCAGATTGCCTGATTTGGACAATTTCCAGGCCTTTTATGCTTCAACATAGAGAGCCATCATTGCGCGGGAAGGGACACGGGAGTTGCACAATATTAGCAAGCAGGAGGACAACAACCAATGCCTTCTG